AATGAATGGTTAAAAAAATGTTTTTAGATAAAGTAGAAAAAAGCCATATCTGAAAGGTTTCGGTAACTCGGGTTCTCTTATCAAACATAATTTTTGTGTCAGATATCCATGGAAATCTACATACACAAGGACTATCTGTGCAAACTGTCCCTAATTTTGAACACTAGAGGAAAGGCAGCTCATCAAATACACCCGGAATAGTGGGATTTGACCTTAACTCTTATAACACAGTCTCAACCCCAGAGTGAGATTTTGTGAGAAAAGGATGCGAATTATGAACCTTAGATTCTCTGGGGGTGCGTATCTCATCATAGTAGTCGATACGGTACGTATCTAGATACAGAAGTTTTACCGACGGTTTGTTACAAAGTTTAACAGTCTTGTCTGTAATTTATTATCTATATTACTAACATTGTCTTATTTAAGCACTTCACACTTTACAGTGATTTTTTCAAATTCTCAGGTTTGATCAACTAAATAGCAGCTGGCAAAAGAAGTAAAACAAAAAAAAATTAATATATATCTATCTGTTTTGTTATTTTGTTATGTTACTTCACATGTAATGTTTTTGATAAAAGAAGTGAAGACAACACGTAGTACTCAATACTCATCTTCCTTTACCGAATCATTAATGTTTAGCAAAAATACTTTATTAGAAATTTTGATTTTTTATCTAGAAAAGACTTATAAGACTTATAATACTAACCACTAGGCCACACCAGACTCCTATTTCACTGAAGATACATTAATCGTATCGGACAATGTATCGATACAATCATATCACGGCTTCACGATACGATCTCTGTATCCCCACACCTTTAATACTAACCACTAGGCCACACCAGACTCCGCTAAATGTACATGTACAGGAGAAATATGAAATGGGAAAATTTTGTTCAATGTTTCAGTTTAGGATTTAATAATAACTATTTCATAGATTATTTTCTTTTTCTGTGGTAGTAGTATGCCCCCCCCCCCCCATGGCTCAGTGGTAAGTCTGCAAGCTTGTTATAACAATAGAAACTGGGTTTTGAAACTCGTGGCGAGCACGATGCAGATAGCCCATTCTGTAGCGTTGTGCTTAATTACAATGAAATATACAAAAATAGCTATTGATTTCATACGCCGTTTTTAAGGAATCTAAGCATAAAATTGTTTTCAGATTTATTATGTTTGTTATTATTGTGAGTACATGAAATAGTATTGAATTTTTACTTATATGTTGTTAACTAACCACCTGTTGAAAAACCTTCAAATACTTGTTTTTTTTTCTACTTTATCTATTTTTGCTGTACCATACCTTGAATGTAGTGTTTCTTTATTAAGCTATTAATAAGTTCTAGTGTGTACAGTATGTACACTTACTCTCTTTCTCGTCCATTTACTTTGACTTATTTCAAAGAATCGTTTCGATTAACTGAAAACATTCAAAAACTAACTAAAAAAAATTAACAAATGACAAAGGTGTCAAATTGTTACAGAATTAAAAACACCAACTTGTAAAAACTGCATGGCCTTTCCAGCTGATTGTTTGTCTCGGTAGTTAATAAACGCGCAATATCTCTCAGGTAGAATCCGTATACTTGACACTGTTCCGTATCTGAAACAAATTTTAATACCTGTGAAATTCAAAACATTTGTGTGCTGTTTTAAAAAGAAATCAGTCTGAATGTTTTATACGTAATATCAGCGTTAAAATTCTGTCCTATTCTTAGCTAGCCCTCGTAATTTAGAAGTGATAAACCAGATGGAGAGCAGCTGGTCAACATCACCCACCACCAACTCTTGCGCTTCTCTTTACAAATGAAAAGTGAGATTGATCGTCACATTATAACATCTTCACAGTTGAAAGAGTGAGCATATTTGGTGATTAGGGTTTGAACCCATGACCCACAAGTTCCATGTTGAGTGTCCTAACCACCAGGTTTAAATGTGTAACCTTAGACTTGTACATCCTCTTTAAACAGATCAAGTCTCAGTTCCATTGTGTCTTCTTTTAACCCTATCGCCCCGGGTATCCTTTACTGCACATGACACAAGGTTTTAGTGTCTTACATTCAAAATTTTATT